GTATGTCATCCGTGAGGGTGGCATTACCAGGGGTCCTGGTGCCTTGAGAATTGGGGGCAGTGCTTTAGGCCCTGCTGCCAGCCTCTGCTCTCCTATTTCCTCCTTTTACTGTGAGGTTGCCATTGCTGCATTCCCCTTCCCTGCTTTCTCTTTGGACTGTGATGAGATAAACACTTCAGCTGGTTCTTGCCTTTCTTTGTTATCTGAATTCTTCATAAGTGGGGGATTCTTGTCCTACTTCCTTCATTTTCCCCCCTTATCACCTTGGGGATAATTCTCTTCTTTCCTGTCCCCATGTGCTCTCAGGGAGGATTCAGGTCTCTGCAGGTAATACCCCTTTGCTAACCCTGGACCCTGTCTTGGTCTCATCTTTACCCTCCACCTAGTCAGGGGCTAGACAGGGACTGGGCTCTTCAGGGTGGGGACTTATTTGCTGTCCAGGCTTTCAGCCTGAGGCTGATCGATGCATGTCATGGGGTAAATCTTGAAGAGTGCCTATCTGAGAATTGAGAGACTGTTGCATGTTAACAGTTAGCTCCTTGGTGCCTTATGGTGGAGCAGTGCATGATGGGGAGTATGTTACCCAAAAGGGCTTCACTTAGGCGTGATGCATCTGGGTGTTAGGAAGTCTTTGTAGAGGTTTAGCCTGGTGAAGGTGACATGAGTATGCATGGCAGTGAGGGAATAAATAATAACAGTGCACAAACTGTATACCTGAATGTGGAGGGCACATGTGAGTATAAGAGGCCACTTAACCAACCATCAGCTGGTGAAGTTGGTCTTGGGTGGATTGATCTCCAGCTCCAAAGCCCCCAGTACTTCTCTCCAGACTAGAGACATGTGGACTGGCCATTTTACTGTCTATTTCCTCCCCTTTCCAATGCCAACTGTCTTCCTCCTTCCTGACAGCACTTCTACCCTAGCCGGGCCCAGCCCCCGAGCAGTGCAACCTCCCGAGTGCAGAGTGCAGCCCCCGCCCGCCCTGGCCCAGCTGCCCATGTCTACCCTGCTGGATCCCAAGTAATGATGATCCCTTCCCAGATCTCCTACCAACCCTCCCAGGGGGCCTACTACATCCCAGGACAGGTGAGGTTGGGGGCTTGGGGCTGGAAGCTACGGAACCTTGTACCTCAAACCTCACTACATCCCCCACCCTGACCTTCTGTGCCATCTCTTCTCCAGAGGTGGGACTTCTTCTGTTATCACCGAGAGTTGGCTTGTCCCTCCTGACAGCACTTCTACCCTAGCCAAGCCCAGCCCTACATTTATTTCTCTGTGTAGTCTGATGTGGTACTCACAGCTCCCTCAACTCCTTTTTTCATCTCTTCCTTCTGCTTCTCTCCTTCCTCACCAGGGGCGTTCCACATATGTTGTCCCAACACAGCAGTATCCTGTGCAGCCTGGAGCCCCAAGCTTCTATCCAGGTGCAAGTCCTACAGAGTTTGGGACCTACGGTAAGCAGGGGAGGGAGTCAGGTGAGAGTGAGTCCCAGGGACTGTGAACTTATCTACTATTTCCTGAGACCTTTTCCAGGCTCCTTTCTTGGCGTAGAAATGATAGGGTGAGTTGGGTAGTAGGGATTGGTGCTTAATATGTCACTGGTGTTGGGCAGGGAAGAAGGTTTTACCTTATTGCTGAGAGTTGGAGTACTTCTCACGTTAAGGCAGGCACCAGTCTGAGACCTGTTGAATAAACATCCCTTCACTTCATGGTTGGGGGGAGCCCATGTAACATAGAATTGGGAAGTTTTGTAGCTGTGTTTCATTTCTGTTCCAGGAGAGGCTTAGTCTGTTCTTTATGGCAGTGGTTTCCAAAATTTTTTGATCATCAGGAAAAGTTTTGAATATGTACCTCTGATACATGTACATTTTTATTACACATATGCACTGTTTAAACAACACTGATGTTACTTGGCAAAAACAAATAGGTGGAGATTATGGATGAGGTTAAAGAATGTATTCCATTTTGGAGACCACTGCTTTAAGGAATTAATTTTCCCTCATCCTGGGCCTAGTTCATATTACTGCTTTTTATTTCTCTGCCTCTTAGCAAAGGGCTGGAGACTGGAACTGGACCCAGGTTGAGTGGAACAGGGTTGGCAATCTGTTTTTCTCATTCCCAGCCAAAGACCTGGTTCTGTTTCAGGTTAAGTGGTTGCTGTTTCCTCAGAGCATATATGTCTGAGCTGCTGGGGGTGGGCATCATACATATTAAATAACTTATGGAGTAGAAGAGAAACATGTAAATCCTGGTAGCTGGTGTGTGTTGGAGAGTGCTTGCCTACAAGGTGTCTGTGTGTCAGTGTCAGGAATTCTTGTAAATGCAGTTCAGACTGGTTCCCCAGCTTTGACAGGCACCTAATTCCCTTGGGGAGGAGGGTGGGGCAGGACAAGGGGCTGGCTGTGGGTGATGAGAGGTTCTGGGAGTGAGAGGTGTTCAGGAAGGCATTTGTACATGGTTGGGCCCTGACGCTGCCATCATTTTTCCTTTCTGTGCCTCCCGCCACCCCAAAGCTGGCGCCTACTACCCAGCCCAGAGTGTACAGCAGTTTCCCACAGGTGTGGCCCCTACCCCAGTTTTGATGAACCAGCCACCCCAGATTGCCCCCAAGAGGGAGCGGAAGACGGTAAGTAGCAAGGGGCTCTGAGACATCTGGGAAAGGGAGAATCAAGGTCAGGTGCATTGTGGGTCAGGGAACAGGGAGTTGAGGATCTTCAGTTTTGAGTGAGCAGAGAATGGGGATCTGTAAAGTGCTGTTTCTTTGTCAGCTACTAAGACTTCAGTGTAGAAGTCATGCATGTGAAGTGACTAGTGGGGAAATTCCTGAGAGACCTGAGCTCAGGGGGTCCATAAGATCTATGTTTGGTTTTGGATTTCTGGTGGCTTGCCTTGGAAATGGTTTGTTTTCTGTGGCTCCACCCCCTACCCCTCAGTCCTGGAAGCTCTTGAGGCCTCCGCCTCTGTTCAATCCTCAAGCCCTGGGCGTGGTGCCCAGAATAGGGTGCCAGGGCTGGGGAAGCCGCTGAGTCACCCTGGCTCCACCCACTGGATCTGGGCCCTGCCCCCAGAGATCAGGCAGACTAGCCACAAGTGAGCTGGACGGGTGCTGGATTGGGGGTCCTGGGCCCCAGGATGTGCAGCTGCTGGCTTGGGGAGCTGCCGGTGGGGCAGGGATGAGGGAGGGAGGGGCACTGTGATGTGTGGGGCTATTCTGTGAGGTCAGGGGTCTCCTAGGGGTAGGGGCCAGGGCAGGGACTACAAAAGCAGTCAGATGGGTTGACATGAGAACTCCTGGGGTTTCTAGCACCCACCCATCTGCTTCCCAGCCTGGAGTCTTAGGTGGGGCATGGTGGAGAGGTGGGTTCCTGCTTCCCACTCATCCCATAGCTTTCTTTCTCCAGATCCGAATTCGAGATCCAAACCAAGGAGGGAAGGATATCACGGAAGAGATCATGTCTGGGGCCCGTACTGCCTCCACACCCACCCCACCCCAGGTACTTGTCTGTTCATTGAGTGATGCCCTGGCTGGGATGACTGTTCTGCCCTGGACTCCCAAGTTTCTTGATGTTTTCCTTTAACTAAGGGATTTCCCTGCTTTCCTGGATTTCTAGGCAGAGCTAAAGTAGAAATGGCTCTAGTAAAGAAAGACTGTGGGATTCTTCAGGGCAAACTTGGTAACTCTTTGTGTTCTGCAGACGGGCAGTGGTCTGGAGCCTCAGGCTAATGGGGAGACACCCCAAGTTACTGTTGTTGTCCGGCCAGGTAAGTAAGCAGGTAGGGCTGGACTTTTACAGGGAAAAGGAGTGTGGCAATTAGATGCTGAGGAGGTGGAGTGACTTGAGCTGGGTGGTAGACAATGACTTGGATTTCAAGTAGTGGGTTTTTTTTTTTTTTTTATCATTTATCTACAATTACATGAGGAACATTATGTTTACTAGACCCCCTCCTTCACCAAGTCCCCCCCCACACACCCCATTACAGTCACTGCAAGTAGTGGGGTTTTGAGGGTGGATTGTATTTGGGGTGAGAAGGGCAAGATTTAGGTGGGAGAAGATTGGGTGGAGGGAATCTGCCTGCTGGGAGGAGGAACAGCAGCAGTGAAGGACTTGCCTTCAGTTACTTATCTTCCTTCCTGTTGTACAGATGATCGGTCACAGGGAGCAATCATTGGGGTCCGGCCAGGGCTGCCTGGCCCAGAGCACAGCCCTTCAGAATCCCAGCCTTCATCACCTTCTCCGACCCCATCACCACCCCCAATCTTGGAACCAGGATCTGAGCCTAATCTTGGAGTTCTCTCTATTCCTGGGGACACTGTGACCACAGGAATGATACAGATGTCTGTAGAAGAATCAACTCCCATGCCTCATGAAACTGGGGAACCATATTGCCTCTCTCCAGAACCCACTCCCCTCGCTGAACCCATTCTGGAAATAGAAGTGACACTTAGCAAACCAATTCCAGAGTCTGAGTTCTCTTCCAGTCTTCTCCAGGCTCCCACCCCACTGGCAACTCACAAGATGGAAATTCTTCCTGAGCCTAATGGCATGGTCCCATCTGAGGATCTGGAACCAGAGGTGGAATCAAGCCCAGAGCTTGCCCCTCTCCCTCCCCCTGCTTGTCCCTCTGAATCCCCCATGCCCATTGCTCCAACTGCCCAACCGGAGGAACTGCTCAACGGAGCCCCTTCGCCACCAGCTGTGGACTTAAGCCCAGTCAGTGAGCCAAAGGAGCAGGACGAGGCTACAGCGTTAGTGGCTCCCCAGACCATCCCCTCAGCTATTCCAGCTGTGGTTCCTCTAGCGACTTGCCCTGCTCCAGAGGAGGAAATGGAGGAAGAGGAAGAAGAGGAAGAAGAAGGAGAGGCAGGAGAAACTGAGGTGGAGAAGGGAGGAGAGGAACTGCTTCCCCCAGACAGTACCCCTGTCCCAGCCATTCTCTCCCAGAATTTGGAGGCGGCAGCAGCCACCCAGGGTAAGGTGGGGCTAGAGGGTGTGTTTTCTTTTCACTAATGATCTCCTGTTTGTGCTGCTGTCTGGGTCATAGAAGCCCTGTGATGGAACCTCTGAGCTAGGGAGGGTCTGATGGAAAGAAATAGTGTTCAGTGGCTGCTTTTTATTTCCCTAGGGCTTAGGAACTCAAGTTATTTCCTAAAGAGTTATTTCCTTCTTTTTTCCTAAATAGTGGCAGTATCTGTGCCAAAGAGGAGACGGAAAATTAAGGATCTTAATAAGAAGGAGGCTGTAGGAGACCTCCTAGATGCCTTCAAGGAGGTAAGGGAGCAGAGAAGAGAGGGCAGAGTTTGGGTGTGAAACGGTGACTATGCTGCAACCACTAGGGAATGTCCTGTGCTTATAGGTGAACCCGGGAATATCAGAGGTGGAAAATCAGCCTCCTGTAGGCAACAATCCTGGTCCAGAGCCTGAGGGCAGCAGTGTGCCCCCAAGGACTGAGGAGGCAGATGAGACCTGGGACTCAAAGGAAGATAAAATTCACAATGCTGAGAACATCCAGCCTGGAGAACAGAAATACGAATATAAGTCAGGTATGCTGAAGGAATGGTTGAGAATGACTGGGTGGTGGTGTCAGGGCCCCAGGAGACAACAGTATGATTGGTTGATCCTGTCTTTCTCACAGATCAGTGGAAGCCTCTAAACCTTGAGGAGAAGAAGCGTTACGACCGTGAGTTCCTGCTTGGCTTTCAGTTCATCTTTGCGAGTATGCAGAAGCCGGAGGGATTGCCCCATATCAGTGATGTAGTTTTGGATAAGGTAGGTAGGCCTGAGGAGGAAGGTAAATTTGGGCTGGCTGGCTGGCTGGCTGGCAGAGGAGGAACCTGAGGTTCTGAAGGAGTTGTTGAGAGCCCTAGCTTGTTTCTGATACCTTCCCTGTCCTCTTTGCAGGCCAATAAAACACCACTGCGGCCACTGGATCCCACTAGACTGCAAGGCATAAATTGTGGCCCAGACTTCACTCCTTCCTTTGCCAACCTTGGTCGACCAGCCCTGAGCAACCGTGGGCCCCCAAGGGGTGGGCCAGGTGGGGAGCTTCCCCGAGGGCCGGTGAGTGGGACTGGCCAGAGGGGCAGATGAGCAAGGGGGCGGGGTTGGGAGAAGTCTGCCCTGGAGATGTGTGGTAGCAGTGCCGCAGGTTGTGTTGGTTCTACTGTACCTTGACTTGTCCTAATCCCTTGCTTAGCAGGCTGGTCTGGGACCCCGGCGCTCTCAGCAGGGCTCCCGAAAGGAACCACGGAAGATCATTGCCACAGTGTTAATGACTGAAGATATAAAGCTGAATAAAGCAGAGAAAGCCTGGAAACCGAGCAGCAAGCGGACAGCAGCTGATAAGGACCGAGGGGAAGAGGATGCTGATGGCAGCAAAACCCAGGTACTGGCAAGTCCAGCTTTGGCTCTCTGTCCCACTTCTGCAAGGTCTGCCCTCTGCTTCTGTCCATTCTACTCGCAGCATCTACCAAAATCACCACTACCTTCAATTATCCCTCCCAGTGGCCTCTCTCCTGGGAAACTCACTGATGCTGTGTCTTCTGTCCTTTCTCCCTCCAGGACCTGTTCCGCAGGGTGCGCTCCATCCTGAATAAGCTGACACCCCAGATGTTCCAGCAGCTGATGAAGCAGGTGACACAGCTGGCCATCGACACCGAGGAACGCCTCAAAGGGGTCATTGACCTCATATTCGAGAAGGCCATTTCAGAGCCAAACTTCTCTGTGGCCTATGCCAACATGTGCCGCTGCCTCATGGCGGTTAGTTTCCACTGTTTCCTAAACATTGTCATCTAGCTTCCTGCTTCTGTCCCAAGATCCCTTGAGTCCAGCTTCTTAGTTCTCCTCTGGCCTGTGCTGTTGATGGCAGTCAGAAGGAGGCAGAGTTGGAGCCAGAGGTCTTCCTGGGTTAGGTAGTTAGATTCTTGGAGAGCCTTCCCTGTCCTGGAATAATCTGAATGAGGCATTCTCTTTGACATATAGCTGAAAGTGCCCACTACAGAAAAGCCAACGGTGACTGTGAACTTCCGAAAACTGCTGTTGAATCGATGTCAGAAGGAGTTTGAAAAAGACAAAGATGATGATGAGGTTTTTGAGAAGAAGCAGAAAGAGATGGATGAAGCTGCTACGGTGAGAGAAATTCAACTCCACTGTCCACTCATTTGTAGAATTGGTTGGGAGAAGAGAGGATAGGGATAGTGGTGGTCTGGGGGGTTTCTCTGTCAATAGGACATGAGTATTTGCTGCTGGGTTTCAAAATCCAGATGGTAGAGAGAAGGATTTTAGCCAGGTGGCTGGGCATCTTTTTGATGTGATCCTGTCCCATGACTGGCAGGCAGAGGAACGGGGACGCCTGAAGGAAGAGCTGGAAGAGGCTCGAGACATAGCTCGGCGGCGCTCTTTAGGGAATATCAAGTTTATTGGGGAGCTGTTTAAGCTGAAGATGTTAACAGAAGCAATAATGCATGATTGCGTGGTTAAACTACTGAAGAACCACGATGAGGAGTCGCTCGAATGCCTTTGCCGTCTGCTTACCACCATTGGCAAAGACCTGGATTTTGAAAAAGCCAAGGTAGGGATCCTGGTATGTGGAATGGGACAGGCTGTAGTGTGTGGGGCTTGCCATCCACCAACACGTCATGTCTTCTTGGATTGGGCTGTCGTGTCTGGTCTGTCGTGTCTGGTCTGAGCCTCAGAATGGCACTGAGGGCCTGAGGAGGGGCAGGGCCTACAACTGGAGCTGAGGTGTTGTAAGCTCCTGACCTGATCCCTTTTCCCCTCTCTAGCCCCGAATGGATCAGTATTTCAACCAGATGGAAAAAATCATTAAGGAAAAGAAGACTTCATCCAGAATCCGCTTTATGCTGCAGGATGTGCTGGACCTGCGACGGGTATGTGTCCTCTCCACGCTGCTAGTCTGCTGTCTCCTATCCCCTAGCTCCCAGTTCCCAAAACTGCTTTGTCTGGCCCTCAATGTAATCTTGTGCTGGGTCTTCTGTCCCCACAGAGCAATTGGGTGCCACGCCGAGGGGACCAGGGTCCCAAGACCATTGACCAGATCCACAAGGAGGCTGAGATGGAGGAGCATTGGGAGCATGTAAAAGTGCAGCAGCTAATGGCCAAGGGCAGTGACAAGCGCCGGGGTGGCCCTCCAGGTCCCCCTATCAGTGAGTTTGAGGCTAGGGCTGGGGAGAGAGCAGTGTGAGGGGTTCTGCTTTCCACTGATGACTTCTTGTTAGTGCCACGTGTCTGGGCCACTGAGACCGCATGATGGAACTGAGGATCTGAGGAAGGGGACCTGGGGGTGGCCCAAGGGGACAGGGCCACTAAGCTGTAACTCATTATTGCAGTACGCTCTCCTCTTTATCCCAGGTCGTGGCCTTCCACTTGTGGATGATGGTGGCTGGAACACAGTTCCCATCAGCAAGGGCAGCCGCCCTATTGACACTTCACGACTCACTAAGATCACAAAGGTAGGGGTGTGTTTGTTGGAGGTGTTGGTGGTGCTGATGGGAGGGTAAGGAGGGATCAAGCAGACATTAAGAACAGGTTTGGATCTTAGTCTCTCACCTGAGGTTGGGAAGTTGACAGCTGAAGTTTTTCTCTTAGACTAACTGGTTAGATTGCTAGAGATGGGATTGTTGGCTCTAGGGAGTGTGTTCACGTTGGTCTGGGCCATGGTCAGCAAACCAACGTGCATACCAAATCCAACCCGTTCCCTGCTCTGTACATTCACAAGCTAAGAAGGGTTTTTACATATCGTGGTAGTTGTAAAATAGAGAAGCAAATGGTAGTATGTGATGTGAAATTACTTTAAATTTGAGTGTCCATGGTTTTACTGGAACACAACCACTCTCATTCCCCTTTATTGTCTGTGACTGCTTTCATGCTATAGCCCAGAATTGAGTAGTTGATACAGAAACAGAAACTGTGTGGTCTGCAAAGCCTAAAATAGTTGCTACCTGGCCCTTCACAGGAAAAGTTTGCCAGGCACCTGGTCTAGGCCATTTGCTATACTATGTGGCTGTGTGTGGTGGTGCCTGGTTGGGGGCTTTGGACAGATGAGACCCTCAGCCCCTTACCAGCATCCCGCCCACGATCCCTATCTTCTGAGAGACCCATGACTCTCCACTCCCTTTCCTTCCTCAGCCTGGCTCCATTGATTCTAACAACCAGCTCTTTGCACCTGGAGGGCGATTGAGCTGGGGCAAGGGCAGCAGTGGAGGCTCAGGAGCTAAGCCCTCCGACTCAGGTATGGAAGCCACTGTAAAGAGCTGGATGGCTCTTTGTTAATCAGCTCTTTTGAGGGCAGAGCCTCACTTCTATACAGGAGGCTTTCAGTTCAGGGTTGTTAGGTAAAACCAGGAGTGTGTACTTGGGACTACAGACTGAAATGAACTACTTTAGTGTTGGGAGTAGGACCAAGGGTTTGAAACAGGCAAGTAGGAAGATAGGGTGTAAGAAAGAGATTTTAATCTGGGTTTTCTGCCTCCCCAGCATCAGAAGCTGCCCGTCCAGCTACTAGTACATTGAATCGCTTCTCTGCCCTTCAACAAGCAGTACCTACAGAAAGCACAGATAACAGACGTGTGGTACAGAGGTGAGGTTTCCTCAGTGTCTTTGTTCTTCGCATTGAGAATACTGTGATTGGGTTTTGGTAGTTGCTATAGTAATTCTTAACACGTATAATGCTCAGAGCCCCAGGCTGAGATTAGGGCATGTTCCTGATGCCAGCAACAAGGCAGCAGTTGTGCACTGTGTTGGAGTTATGTGAGACAGCACCTGAGCAGTACGGGTGAGGGGTAACATGCCTGTCTTTTTTCCAGGAGTAGTTTGAGCCGGGAACGAGGTGAGAAAGCTGGGGACCGGGGAGACCGTCTAGAGCGGAGTGAACGGGGAGGTGACCGAGGGGACCGGCTTGATCGTGCACGGACACCTGCCACAAAGCGGAGCTTCAGCAAGGAAGTGGAGGAGCGGAGTAGAGAGCGACCTTCGCAGTCTGAGGGACTGCGCAAGGCAGCCAGCCTCTCAGAAGATAGGGATCGTGGGCGGGATGCTGGTAAGGGGCTGAGGGGAAGGGAAGGATAGGGGGTGGGTGGATGTGGGACTAGCCATTTCCCAGTCAAGAGTCTTCAGAGCTCTAGAACCTGTTAAGCTGGGAAGATTGGAACTAAAGAATATCTGATGTGTACGCCCTCCCGTGATCCCTACCTCAGTGAAGCGAGAAGCTGCCCTGCCCCCAGCGAGTCCCCCAAAGGCTGTGCTCTCTGAGGAGGAGCTGGAGAAGAAATCCAAGGCCATCATTGAGGAATACCTCCATCTCAATGACATGAAGGTAGGCAGTGGATGGAGTCTGAGCAATAGTGTAGGCCCATGCTGACAGGCATGGAGTGTAAGGTCTGGGCCGTGTGGTGACTGCTCTGTCCCTGCCATACCCTTTGCCCCCTGCAGGAGGCAGTGCAGTGTGTGCAGGAGCTGGCCTCACCCTCTCTGCTCTTCATCTTTGTGCGGCATGGCATTGAGTCCACGCTGGAGCGCAGCACCATTGCTCGTGAGCATATGGGGCGGCTGCTGCACCAACTGCTCTGTGCTGGGCACCTCTCCACTGCTCAGTACTACCAAGGGTATGACCACTTTTTGTGGGCGTCCCACTTTTGTGTACCCACAAATTTCCCTCCTTTGTAGGACCTGTGGAGCCTTGGATAAGAGTATAGGCTCTTTAACCCTCTGGTCAACTCTACTTTTGGCGGGGATGGGGGGTGAACTGTTTAATGACAAAGGGGTTGATTTTAGCTTGAGATATTTGCCCCATGTTTAGGTAGTGTTCCTGAGGTGCTCCATGGTTGAATTTTCAGCCATGCCTTGTTGCCCCAGAAGGAAGGTGGGAGCCTGGCTTCTCTTTCTAGAGTGCTGACTTTGAATTCTTTTTGTAGTCTGTTTGAAATTCTAGAGTTGGCTGAAGACATGGAAATTGACATCCCCCACGTGTGGCTTTACCTAGCAGAACTGGTAATGCCCATTCTGCAGGACGGTGGGGTGTCCATGGGAGAGCTGTTCAGGTAAGTTCCCTTTGGTGTAATTCAAGGGAGGCAAAGGCAGGAAGAAAGTGATGGTGGTGGTGGAGATGTATGTGTGACTGGATCAACACCTGGATCTAAGGAGGGATAGAATAGCGTGTTGAGAAGGCTTTGGAGGCTGGCTATCAACATTGGACTTTTCTTGCAGAGAGATTACAAAACCTCTGAGACCCCTGGGCAAAGCTGCTTCTCTATTGCTAGAGATCCTGGGGCTCCTATGCAAAAGTATGGTGAGTGAGAGCCTTTTGGGGTAATGTGTTCAGGACTTGGCACTATGTGGTTTTGGCTGCTGTAGTGACCCTGAAGCCTTGTGATCATTGGGTAGGCTGGAGTCGATGATGGTAGTATCTGGGAGAGAAAAAGTCAAGGCTGACACTTTCCCTCACACCAGTTCTTGCCATGAGTTCTGACCACGGCTGGAAGAGAATGGGAATCTAAGGAGAGAGAATAGGCCCTTGATTGATTCAACTAGCATGTTTTAAGAACATTTCACCACATACTAGGCACTGGGAATACAATAGTGAATAAAACACAAGCAGATTGGAAGAGGAAAAAGTGGGAAATGACAGTTTAGTAAAAACAGTGTGAAGTAATGTGTGAAACAAAATAGTTGAAATGGAGTGTCTTAAGTGTTTTGAGGTTGCAGGGTGTGTTTAGTGATGTTCATGACAGAAAGCTTTCTGGAGGATGCCGAAGCTGCTTTATAGAAGTTAATTGGGGACCAGTAAGTGTAAAGGGGGAAAGATGGGAAAGGCAAGTTGGGGGTGGTACTTAGTGGTAGTGAGAAGTTGGAAAATGTGATTTCAAAAGAGCTATCTGGAACCTGGAGGGATAAGACTTTAAATTGAAAGTAATTGTTCTCTGTCATATTAAGCCTTTGAAGTAGAAATACGTACCAGGGTAATTTCTGCTTAAAAAAAAAAAGACAAGAAATAGAATATTGAACTACTTATGTATTTCATTGAATCTAATGTACCATAGATTATAGGACATATTTATACATGTCTAGGAAAGAAAAGATCTAAATGAACAATTTGTTAAATTCAGCATATCAACTGTGAGACAACTCAATTTTAGTGATGTTAAAAATTGGGCGTCTTTAAAATCTTGCTGAGGGGTAATGTCATCATTCTGAAAATCTGTTACGAAAGTGATGCTTTCACAATCTCTTGGCCTGTTTCAGAGAATGGGCTTATAGATTGTTTATGTTAGGATTTCTGTTTGCATTAGGAGTGGGAAATATATCTACTTCTAAAATGTTTTGGACTTGGGAACCAAAAAGGTATACTTGTTAGAAGTTGTCCTTGCATAAGCATTCGTTATTTGGAATAATGAAAAACTAAGCTCTTTTAGGAAAAAAAAGGGAGATGAGTGTGGAAGGCTAGGGTAAGCTCTTTGGATTAGGTTATTTTCCTTTTTTGGTCTAGTAATTCTTTGAGAATCCTGTGACAGCTACATGACATCTCTCCCAGAAACTCTTAGCTCCCTCTGTCCCCTGACCCTGTCTCATCGACTGTGGTAGATGAGTTTTTGTCTTTGGGTGGTCATGTGACTGATGTCTACACCAAGAACTATTCTGTAGGCATAGAGAGACTGCCTTTTGGTGCCTCTGTAGCATCCTGAGCCCTTAGCAGACATCTAGTGGTTGTCCAGCAAATATTTGTTGGACAACATTTATGGAACTGTTAGATTTTTGGACAGAGGGTGGCTGAGTTGGTTTTGTGTTTTCCAGGGTCCCAAAAAAGTGGGGACACTGTGGCGAGAGGCTGGACTCAGCTGGAAGGAATTTCTACCTGAAGGCCAGGACATCAGTGCATTCGTCGCTGAGCAGGTTTGCAGCTGGAGTTAGGTTAATTCTAGCATTTGGGACTAGCCAGTCTTCCTTCTCTTTCCTCATTTCACTCACAGGGTGCACTTACCACCTGGATATGGGTCTTGTCGTTTGCAGAAGGTGGAGTATACCTTGGGAGAGGAGTTAGAAGTCCCTGGCCAGAGGCTGCTCTCCCCTGAGGAGCTGAGCAAGCAGCTGGAGAAGCTGCTGAAAGAGGGCAGCAGTAACCAGCGGTTGTTTGACTGGATAGAGGTGTGTTTCTCCTAGATGTTGGAAGAGAGGGATAAAGGAGAGGTAGTGCTTGGTGTACAATTCAGAACTTAGGGCCATTTGTTTATCTTTTCTCCTGCATAGGCCAACCTGAGTGAGCAGCAGATAGCATCC